AATCCAAAGTCTTTCCCCTCCAACTCTGGGAGCATCTGGTTGATCATAGTGGCTGGATTTGTCTTGCTTGCTCTGTCCGTGGCTAACTCTGTTGTTAAATGTGCCCACGGTGCCCGAGCCTGTGGGTGTTGGGCACACAGTAGGTGCACAGGGACAGGTGGGGAACGACCTGGCTGCAGCCATAGGGATAGGATAGGATAGGGTGTGTGTGTGTATATATACCCTGGGAAGGCTGCCTGGTGGAGGAGTGCTGCCCCCCACCTTCCCAAGCTGGCCACCAGGGTGACCCCAACCCCTCCCCTGTGCAGGAGGAAGCCTCGGGATTACACCATCAAAGTGCACATGAACTTGCTGCTAGCGGTCTTCCTGCTGGACGTGAGCTTTCTGCTGAGTGAGCCGGTGGCCCTGACAGGCTCCGAGGCTGGCTGCCGTGCCAGCGCCATCTTCCTGCACTTCTCTCTGCTCGCCTGCCTCTCCTGGATGGGCCTTGAGGGCTACAACCTCTACCGACTGGTGGTCGAGGTCTTTGGCACTTATGTCCCTGGCTACCTGCTCAAACTGAGCATCATGGGCTGGGGTAAGTTGGGAGAGGGCGCTGGTGGGCCCCCAGACCTGCCTCTTCTACTTGGTAAAATGCAGGCACCTGGTTCCACTTCTCTGCTTACCTCTCTGTTCCCGCACTCTTTCCTTCACCCACTCATCCTCAGTTGTTCTTCACCTGGGCTGGGTTAAGGTCCCCTTTAGGAAGATGAAGTGGTGAGCATTGCCCCAAGAAACACATATTCTCTACATTGCTCACTTTTTTAAAAGCGGGGTTTGCAGACAGAGCCACCGCGTATGGATGTGCAGGTTGTGCACTGCTCAAAGGCACCCAGTTGGGGGAGGAGTGGGCTGTCATCCAGTCCTCCACTCACCTAATTCAGCCTGGCAGTGGCTCTGTCTGTGGATCCTCCTAAGCTTCAGGTAACAGATTCCCTGTAGCTCTGGCATTTGTTCTTGGCCAAGACCACCCAATTTACCCATGGCCCAGACCTCTCAGTCAGACCTGGAGGCCCAGAGGGCACACTGCAAGTCCTTCTGGATGTTGCACAGGCCTGCCAGGCTCCACATGTCCCTCACCCAACTTGCTGCCCCTCCCGTGTTTCTCCTCTGGCCCTTTCTTGGTTCACTCCATCGATTTACATAAAATTCCTTCAGAGTTGGCTCTGTGTCAGGACCCAGGTGTTTGGTGGTGGGTGACCCCTTCTGGAGAGAGCTCTCAAGCTCCAGCCCGTGGACAAAGTTAAGGCCCAGTGCAGACTCTGGAAGCACCCCCTTCAGCTGTCCCCCACCCTCCCAGTCTGTGCTTCCCATCTCCCCTTGTGACGTCCTGCCCCTTGGCGGGAAGTGCAGGCCCTTTCTCCCACGGGCCCCGGGATGGTGAGGGGGATGGTGGAAGGTCAGCGGAGACGGGGCTCTCTATGGGAAACCCAAACTGGAGCGGGGCAGGGGCGAGTCTGATCATGGAGGACCCTCCCCACACGGAGCTGCATATAAGCCTGGGAGAAGGGTCTTGCCAGAGGGCGGGGGACAGAGCTCCATGCTTTGCGGCCCCGCAGGCTTCCCCATCTTCCTGGTAATGCTGGTGGCTGTAGTGGACGTGAACACCTACGGCCCCATCATCTTGGCCGTGCAGAGGACCCCAGGGAGTGTCATCTACCCTTCCATGTGAGTGGCTGAGCACAGTGGGCTCAGGAACACGGGCCTCGGGGGGCAGAGGCCAGAGAGCGGCCTGGGCCGAGGCCGCACCGACCGAGCCAGGGCTGCTGGAGGTGTCGGCCTGGCGGAGGCTGGGGGGTCAGGGAGGGTGGGCACAGGCCTGGATTTGCCCGTCCCTCGCCGGCGACCTTGTGCGGCACCTGGGTTTCTTTGTGTGAGTGGGAATAGAGGTGGGAGCGGATGAAGGCGCGGAGAACTGGAAAGAAAGTAACGTGCCCCCGTGAGTCAGCGGTGTTGAAGGCGGCTCCCTGTAGCTTGGGTTCCCCGAGGCGCACATCCTCAGCCTGGGAAGCACCACGCCAGCCCCGCCAGCATGCACTCAACCCTCACATCTCTGCCCCCAGGTGCTGGATCCGGGACTCCCTGGTCAGCCACGTCACCAACCTGGGCCTCTTCAGCCTGGTGTTTCTGTTCAACACGGCCATGCTGGGCACCATGGTGGTGCAGATCCTGCGGCTGCGCCCGCACGCCCAGAAGTGGCCCCACGTGCTCACGCTCCTGGGCCTCAGCCTGGTCCTCGGTCTGCCCTGGGCTTTGATCTTCTTCTCCTTTGCTTCGGGCACCTTCCAGCTTGTCGTTCTCTACTTCTTCAGCATCATCACCTCCTTCCAAGGTAAGGCGTGGAGAAGAGCCCCCCCCCATCGCCCCCCGGCCCCGGGCAGGGCGCCCAAGCGTGGAGCGCGGGGTAGGGAAGGTATGGACCTAAACCGAAGGCTTCCCTTCTCTGGACTTCGGTCTTCCTGTCTGTAAAATGGGGGCCCCCAGGCCATAGCTGACAAGTCTTTGTTGAGTACCTGCTCTGTGCAGGCCCTGTGTTAAGCCTTGGGGCTACATTTGTGGACTGGTTGGGTGAGGGCCTTCCTTCCACGGAGCTCATCTCCTGTGGGAAAGACCAGGCGTGACGAGCAAGCCTGCAGCCATCTGAGGGGATCTCGCAGAGGAGGGCAGTCGGTGGCGATGTGATGAACCATCTGGGCTGGGCTGGGCTGGGGGACACTTTGGGAAGGGTGGCCAGGGAGGCCTCTGTGGGAGACATTTGAAGACAACAGAAGGGTCCAGCCAGGGAGAGATCAAGGGCCTTGGGACTCCACGTGTGTTCCCGGGCCCGTGGGCATCAGCATCACGGGGACTCTGGCCTCCCCAGACTTGCCGAATTAGAGCTGCATTGTAACAGGTGCCCCGGGGGGCATGTGTGCGGCGCAGGCTGAGGAGGTCTGGCCTACGGAGAGAGTGCCAGGCAGAGGGAGGAGTAAGAGCAAAGGTCCTGAAGCTAGCACTAGGCTGCGTGTTTGGAAGAACAGGGAGGGGGAGCGAGGCTGAAGGGTAGGTGGCAGGGAGGAGGGGAGAGGAGCAGAGGGGCTGGCTCCTGAGGGCTGGGGCTTGATGCCAGCAGGGTCCTTCTACCTACACCCCTCTGCACACCCCCACCACCCAAGGACAGACAGACAGATACACACAGACACACACACCCCTCTGTTCTGGCCCAGAGGTGCTTAAACAGGTACTCTGGAGCCTGAACACCAGGGTTTAACTCCTGGCTCAGCCAAGGCCCCTTGCCTCCCAGGACCTCAGTTTCCTCGTTTGTGAAGCAGAATAGTAATGAATAGGCCTGACCCCTTGAGAACCTTGACAGAATAAAATGAGATGGGGCTCAGGCCATTGTACAGTGTCTGGTGTATGGTGGGGTCCCCCCAAATCACAGGGGTGCTGGTAGCCTGTGTAGGGAGCGGGGGAAGGGTCAGGGCCGCCCCCCGCCTGCTGAACCCTGTGCTCCCTCACTGCCCCCAGGCTTCTTCATCTTCCTCTGGTGCTGGTCCATGCGGCTGCAGGCCCGGGGCGGGCCCTCCCCACTGAAGAACAGCTCGGACAGTGCCAGGCTCCCCATCAGCTCGGGCAGCACCTCGTCCAGCCGCATCTAGGCCACCAGCCACCCGCCAGGAGCTGCATGAGGAAACAGAGATGCGGCCTCTCCTCACCCCCACCTGCCACCCCCACAAGCCAGGCCTGACATTTGAGGGTCAGCCAGAGACTCGAGAAGAAGGCCCAAGCCCCTTGGGAGGAGGGGGCTGTTGCCAGACTCCCAGGCTGGGCCTTCTGAATTGGCCTGCGGGCTACTCACAACGGGCTCGGGAGTGGGACCGTACCCCTGCCGTCCTAACTGGGGGCTGCAGGCCGGTCTGAACTCACCGCCGCTGGGCCCAGCCCTCATGGCTGTGGATGGGAGCCCCTGGGCCCCACGGTCAAGTCCTGGACCTGTGAGGCCTGGCAGCATCCTGGGCCCTGTGCTATAGCCAATCTGTCTCCAGTGACCGCCACCAGGGCACTCTGCAGTCCTGTCATTTTAGCCTGAGAGTGGTACTCAGGGCACATGGGGTTGGGGCAGAGCTTTGAGCCAGAGCCCTGGAGGAGGAGAGCCCCCTCCCGGAGCATAGCAGCAACTCCTCTACCTCTGAGCCCAGGGCCCTCTGTCAGCCTCTCCAGCCCTCCCTCTCCAGCCCCCCATTCAGCCCTGGGCAGGGCCCTGATTCCAGGGCTGTATTTTGGGTTGTGGTTTCCAAGAGCTGTCTGCTGTAAACCTTTATTTACTGCACGGGCCTTTGCCTGGCCTTGACTCAGGCTTAGGATAGACGTGCTGGGCTGGGCTAGGTCGGTCTGTCCATGTGGGCCTTTCTATAAGCTGCATCGCCCTTGCTCACCACTGCCAAGCCCACCCCTCCCAGGGACCCTCAGCCTCTCCCAAAGCCCTCTTGTGGCAAGAACTGTGGAGCATAGCAGTGCAAATTTGTTTCTGCCCTAGTACTGGGAAGACTGAAGCGTGCCTCCCTCCGTGACCCTGGCCTAGAGCCCAACATGCTCTTAAGGGGTTGGAACTACAAGGGGAGCCACCATTCCTTGCTGGGGATCCAGGAAGACTTCCTGTAGGAGACAACATTTGATCTGGATCTCAGTCTTAAAGATGGGGGAGGACTTTCTTTTTAAGCACTATCTCATTTGTCTTTTGAATTTAAAGAAGTAGATGTTCATTGTAGAGAATTTGGAAACTGTAGAAGAGCACACAGAAAAAAAAAATCAGCTGTTGTTTTCACCTAAGAAACCACTGTAAATATCTGGAGCACTTTCTTCTGTGCTTTTATTAAGAGTCACTGATACAAACACCTTGGGGCCAATCAGGAAACAGATGAGAGAAGGCCACGTGTGAAAAAAATCAACTGCTGGAAACTATCCACCAGGACTAGCGGGGTGGGGGGGATGGGAGTTGGATAAAGGACAGCTTGGCGTCAGGGTTGGGGAGGCAGTGGGGAATGCTGGGGTCTGTGGTGGAGTGGAGATGCCAAGCTACTTGGCTCCAGCCACCCGCTATCCTGTGCAGGGGTGCAGAGATGATGGTCCATGTGGCCAGACCACCTTGGGGAGCAGGACCGCTGTTCTCAGAAGGACACAACCAGGTTTGTGAGTGGAGACGTCGCTCTGGCATGGAAAACGGACTGAAGCAGCCAGAAGCTTGGAGGCCTTGGCCCTGGAGACTGGAGACCACGTGGAGGCACTGGGACAAGCCGGTGGTGGTGGGAGGTGGCAGAAAGCAGAGCTACAGTTCCATCCGCCCCGGGATTTGGGGGGCCCAGGGCTTTGTACATGGCTCCAGGCCTGTCCCCAGCCCCGGTGGGGCCTAGAAGGGGTGGCGCTCACCCTGGCCCTGCCCAGCTATCTTTGCCACATTCCCAGCCTCCCGGTCCTGTCTTTCCAGGTGTGCTGGACACTATGGGTCCCTCCTTCCAGGCCCTCCTTCACAAACAGGCCCCCGTGAGCCCCTTTGAGGGCCCTGGTGCCAGGATGGGTCTCTAGCAGTGGGCCCAGCAGGTCGCAGTTCACAAAACCCTTGTCCACCATCTCACCTCACCTGGCTGCCACTGGGAGGGAGGCGGGACAGGCCCCGTGGTTCCCATCTGCCCCCAAGCCTTCCCTGCAGAGGAAGTGCCTGGGGCCCCACACCAGATTCCCACCTGCCACCCACGACCCATGAGTGACCCCGATGTCCCCTCCCTAGCCCTCCCCAGGTACAGAGGGCCCAGTGGGGAACTGAATCCTGTGTGGACACTGCGTGGGAGGAAGGGGAAGGGGCTGGGTGGGTCCTCAGACCCCCAGGGTAGAGCACGTCCAGCTCAGGCCCTGCAGGCGGGATGCTGGGAGGATGCACCTCCTTGGCGGGGTGCTCTCTACCTTTGATCTTGCAGTGACCATGGGACCACGCCAACAGACCTGGCCTCATCCACATGACTTCCTCAGAACCATCAGAGCTGGGGCCCGAGTGGTCAGCCCCTCTCCTTCCCTTGTGCCGCCCCCCATGTGTGTTTGCTGCTCCCACTTCCCATCTGGGCCACCAGTGGCCACATGGGCACTAGGACTGAATTGCGCAGTACTGACAATCATAGAGATAAGGACTGTGGCCACGCCCAGTGGTCTGGACAATTCCACTCGCATCTCATGAGTTCTTTGTACGTCTTGTGAGAGGCTCAGAGCGGCAGACAGCTCGCCCAAGCTCACCCAGCCACGAGGCGGCCCAGACAGACAGCCCAGGACAGACGTCAGCCCAGGCCTGACCAGCCCCCAAGCCCATGCTCCTGCACACTCCGTCCCACCTCTCCTGTTACCCGGTCTGGGCAGGGAAGGCTGGGGCCCATGGAGCTGGTCCCCCTCTCCTCCGAGGGCCCCAGCAGCCATGGGCTTAATCCCAGTCTTGTTCAACCCATAGGCATGAGCGAAGGAGCGTGAGCACCACCCACATCCCTAAAGCCGGCTTGTGCCTGGCACATTACAGGTCTCCTCAAACCCCAACATGGCCCTACATGGCAGCCCTATTGCTGTATCTGCTTCACAGAAGAAGAAACTGAGGATCAGAGGCCCCCAGCTACTGAGGGGAGGGTCTGAGTTGGGTGTGGAGGCCTCTGGGGCTGCTGGACCCCAACCTCACAGCCCCCAGAAGCGTCCCTGGGTGGGCTCAGCAGCCCCCTCTGTAGGCGGTCATGGGGTGGGGTGAGACAGGAACACAGCCCAGTTCCCCACACTCGCCTTTCACAACCCAACCGATGGTGGTATGGAGCAGGAAGGCGGAGAAAGGCCACAGGAAGCGCTGCGGGGGGGACGGAGGGGACGGGGAGGGGCGGCAGGCCTCAGCACAGAGCCTGGGACCAGAGGGACGCTCAGACGCAGGGCTCTGCCAGGTGGGCAAGACTGCCCAAGGATGATGACACCCAGGGTCCTGGGGGTCCTGCCTCTCTCGCTCCTCCTGCTCTGGGCCTCAGGTGAGCAGCTGGCTCCTTATCTCCTGGGAGCCCAGGGGGCCTGGGAGACTCAGGGCCAGGGATGGGGAAGTAGATATGGGTGGGGGTGTCTAGAGCATGTCCGTCCAAGGAGCCCACCCCAATGGCCTCGGCGTCTTCTCTCACCTCGTCCTCTGAGTTAGCTGTCGTCCTGATAAACTTGGGTCAGCACTGGGTCTCAGGTGCCTTGTGCTCCCCACAGAGCTCCCCCCTCCCCTCCTCTGGGCTGTGGCTCCCTGACAGGCCTGGCTCTGGGACACTGGTGGGCCCCGGACACACTCTTATCCAGCTGGCCTCCAAGCTTCTGGGGAAGGGGGTCAGGATGCTCTGGAGGGTGAGGCCAGCTGGGGCTTGTACTGTGCTCCCTCACCCCCTTGTCTGGCTCCCTCCAACCTGACCCCCCCAACTCCCCTCTCCTTGTCCCAGCAATGGCCCCCCAGCCCCAGTTTCCCGGAACAAGACTGGCCCCCCCCCCCCAACTGTCAGCCTTCCACACACACATGCGGTGGTTCTCCAGAGCAGTTTGAGGACCCTAGGCCTTGCCCTTGGCTATGCTTTGCCCGGGAAAGCCGAGCCCACCCCTGGCCCACCCCTGGCCCACCTCAGCTCTCACCTACCCTCCTTGGGGCCCTGTGATGTCGGCAGTGACCCCCTCAGGCAGAGGGAGTGCTCCCATCGCAGTGCCCTGAGTGCTCCTCCTGTTTTGTTCTTAATCCGTGAGCATCCTGCCTGCCTGCCGAGCAGGGGGTCATGTGGCTCTGGGCACATGGATCAACCTCTTTGGGCTTCAAAGAACCTTCCTCTCAGGATGCCTGGGGGGCTCAGTCGGTGTAAGCATCTGCCTTCAGGTCAGGTCATGGTCTCAGGGTCCTGGGATCGAGTCCCGCGTTGGGCTCCCTGCTCAGCGGGGCGTCTGCTTCTCCCTCTCCTTCTGCCCCTCCCCTCGCTCATGATATCTCTCTCTCTCTCATGCTCTCTCTCTCTCTCTCAAATAAATAAATAACATCTTAAACACACACACACACAAAGAAACTTCAAATGTTGCGAGATTCGGTGAAGTGCAAAGTTCAGTCCCTGGCTCAGAAAAAGGGGCAAAATGGCAGTGTTGTCTTCCTGGCAGAGCCGGCCGTCGGGCAACACTTGACAGATTCATTAACTCAGTAACCAGTGGTGGCTATCGTCCGGCCTCAGCGGGCTTCACAGGATCGCTGGGCCCTGCACAAAAGCCGTGAGTACCCTGGTTGGGACTTCCAGGCTCCCCTGAGTGACTGAGCTTACCAATGGTGATGTGGGTGTGTGGGCAAAGTGTCAGCCATTTGAGTCGCCTTGAGAGGCTTACACGTAGAGGTAAGTCTGCTTCCTTGGTGGACATTTATGGGTCTGCCGATTGGTTCATTCATTCTGAAACCACCGATGGGGACTCCTGTGCCGTGCCAGGCTCTGGGCTGGGGTGGTGTGGCTACAGCAGAGAGAAGCAGGCCCCTGGTGGGGAGCCCTAGGAACGGGCAGGTACCGCCCCTGACTGCCGGCCCGCTCCCCACTTGAACCTGGATTGAGGTGGTCCCTGGAGGCCAGCTGCTGGGGCAGAGCGGGATGGGGGAGGGTAGCGCGGGTCTTGAGGTGGGGGCTGGCAGCATCCTGCCCAGGCCTGGGCCAGGCTCTCTCTGTCTGGGCTAAATGCTTCCAATGTCTTCAAAAAATAATCACAAAAAAAGAGAGTCACCTTTTCTGTACTTGCCAAAGGCTTCACATATATGACTGCGCTGAAATTTCATGGCACGCCAGGAGGGAGGCTCTGTTAATACCGGTCCGGGTGCCCCCCAGCACCCATTTGTAAGCCCTCAGGCATACAGAGGGCTAGGATTACACGGAGAACGGCAACCCCCCCTCTCTTTTCCTCTCCCTCTTCTCTCTCCCTCTTCCTCCTTTATTTAAAAAGCAAACGTGGATCCTCTTACATGCATGCCCATCTAGCATTTGCTTCTCCCCATTAAACAGTGTCATGAATATCTTCTTTTTTAAAGATTTATTTGAGAGAAAGAGAGAGCACGCACACAGGGGGGAGGGGCAGAGAGAGAATCTGAAGCAGACTCCCCGCTGAGCACAGAGCCCAACTCAAGGCTCGGTCCGGGGACCCTGAGATCCTGACCTGAGCCGAAAGCAAGAGTCCGACACTTAACTGACTGAGCCACCCAGGCGCCGTTTACCTACCCCTTTTTAAAAGTTCATACATTTTGACCCAGAAATTCCTAGGATCGTAATGTTTTTTATGAATTCTTAACCCAAGCTGACAAAGATGTAAGCAGTGTTGTTCAGAATGGGGGGGAAAAAAAAGACTGATGATCCTAAAAGCCCACCAACAGAGGACCAATCGAAAAAATGTTACAACACCCACCCAGTGGAATAGCGTGCAAGAGAATCAAGGAGAGGGATCAGTAGGTGCTGATGTGGAAAGCTCCTCAAGATATCTTGCTAAGTGATCCCGTTCATGTACATTTTTAAGTGATTTACACCAAAATACTTGCCTATGTATAGAAAATTTCCCCAAGGTTGTGCATTGAGCTGCTGCAGGTGGTGAACTCTAGAGTGTGAGCTGGGAGCTGTGGGGACTTTTACTTTTCATTTTGTGGTCTTGTGTACGGTTCAAAAAAAAATGTGCATGTATTAATTTTGTTGAGAGAGAGGTAACTATGTAGACATATATATACATTCAATGTAAATACACAAATATATAAATAGTTTTACAGTGACATTCTCACCTCCTGGACTAAATGATACTGGCTCTTTGAACATTTTTTTTTTAAAGATTTTATTTATTTATTTGCGAGAGAAAGAATGAGACAGAGAGAGAGCATGAGAAGGGGGAGGGTCAGAGGGAGAAGCAGGGAGCAGGGAGCCCGATGCGGGACTCGATCCCGGGACTCCAGGATCATGACCTGAGCCGAAGGCAGGCGCTTAACCAACTGAGCCACCCCGGCACCCCTCTTTGAACATTTATAATGAGCTATATCGTTTATGTATATGGATGTTCTCTAATCTTCCCCCAAACTCACAAGGAAGGTATTATTAGTCCCATTTGGCTGATGAGAAGAGGGAGCCTCAGAGAGTTCAAGTAACTTGCTTGAGGTCACACAGCTGGTAAGTGACTCCACACTTCCATTCCATCCCCATACCAGCTGAAAGGGGAACTGAACTGGAAGTCACGAAAGCTGGCCTGTCGTCCTGGAGCTGCCTCCTGCTAGCTGGTGCCCCTGCTCAAGTCACTGTGCTCCCCCAGAGCCTTCTATGTTCTCTCCCTGCCCCAGGAGGCAGCCTGTGAGGGTCATAATGAGAATGTAGGAGAAAGAGGCAAACCGAGACAGAATACGCCCAAGAGTTATACCACGAGGCCACAGTTGCAAAGGCTTTGGAATGTCTGATATGGAACAACTGTGGAAAGCCCAGCAGACTCCCTGGAGGAGGTGTTAAAGGGGACTAGGACTAACATATGAATGCTTTAATCTACAGAGCCATGTGCCAAGCCCTTTGTACACACTTTCCCCAAAGCATCCCACTGGGCCTATGAGGTGGGAGGTCATATCTCCTTTTGCCTTGGAAATTGAGGCCCGGGGAGAGCGAGTCCAGCTCAAGTACACATAGTGTGAATGGATGGAACTGGAATTCTAGCCCACATCGCCAGACCCTGGAGCCTGAGCATCTTACCCCCAACACCCTGCCCTTGCTGCCTCCCCACCCAGCCCATTCACACCTTCTGCATCCCTCCTTCAGGTATGGAAAATTCTAGCAACAAATATGAGCAACCGAGAAAGGTCTGCCTGGGGCTCATCAATGCGGACCAGTATGATTCTTTCCACCTGGAGAACACTGCTGACTGCTTCACAAAGTGCACGCAGTCAGGGAATGAACCCTGTGACCTGGAAAACTTGCAGAGGTAAGAGGGCCCTCTGACCTAGAACAGGAATCTGGGGTTCCTTCGAGGGTGGCAGGGAGGCTGTTAGGAAGGGACCAAGCTCTCAGCCCCTATGGCTTCTGAAAATGCTGCTCCTAACTCATCTTTCCACCCTCTTGTTTGACACCCACATTCCCTCCCATCCACTCACTGAGAATTTTCTGATCCAGGGGATGCAGAGATGAATCAGCCCCCATCCCTACCATTGTGGAAGGTCAGACATGGGCCCAAATGATGATGATTCTAGAGTACGATCATAGAAAAGGGTGGATAAGGTGCCAAGTTAGCTCAAAGAAAGGAAAACTGCCAAGGCTTCACAGAGGAGGCGACTCACAAAAAGGCTTTGAAGACTGCATAGGAGTTTTCTAGTTGGATCCAAGCAATGTTAGGGGCTACAGGCATCAGAACTTCAGGGAGTATTGGGGGGGAATGACAGTGCTTTGAAATGTGAAAAGGTGAAGTGCTGGGGATGGAGGCAACAATGGGGAGGTGGGTTGGGTAGGGGATAGGCTAGAAATATAAGCAGGGACCAAAGTGTAAAGGGTCAGGTAAGCTATACCAATTTGGGAGGAGGCAGAGCAAGGACATATTTTAAACAGAGGAAGAACGTGGTCAATTTTGCATCTGAGAAAGTTTGCTCAGGTTTCAGGGAAGGGTACAAGGGTGGTGATGCCAGAGACGTGACCAGATAGGATGAAACCACAGTGGTCTGGGTAGAAGTGAAGGCTGAACCACCACCATCACCACCAATGGGCACTGTACATCTGGTAAGGAGGGATGGATTAGAAATATCATGTGATGTAGAATCAATAAGACCAAGAGACTGATAAGACCAAAAGGTTAAGAGACAGGGGGTGAGGGAGAAGAAGGGGTTTAGAATACAACATCTCGAAGAATCAGCTCCAAAAATATTTTTGCCTCTCTCCTCCTCTCCCTTTGAATCAAAGCTGGCCATCATTCCAAGATACTCGGGACAAACTCATAGTTGGCACTCGATGCATGTTTGTTGAAAAAAAATGAATGAAAACCCTGTGTTCTCAGGCTCAGTGTTAGGATAGCAATCTGATTGAGCTACATCATGTCCGTCGCCTGAAAACACTGCTCTCCCCACCTGAAACTGCTTCAGTAGGCTTCTTAGCTCTGGGAGGCTGTTCTGGGAGCTCCTCTCTCTGCTGCCTTATGGTGGGGATAAGTACTTTGGGAAAAGTGAGGCTCTGGGGTCAGAAGATGTGGATTCTGTTCCCAAATCTAACACTTAACCAAGTTACCTTCTTTACCTTCACAACCCCATGAGGCCGGTCTGGGCTTCAACCCATTTCAACATATGAATTTGCAGGGAGGGCACATATATTTCGTCCCTAATAGGCGCTCTTATGAATAAAGTTGCCATGAACATCTTTGTACATGTCTTTTCATGAACACACATGTTCATTTCTCTTGGGCAAATACCTAGAGGTGGTATTGATGTCAAAGGGAGACGTATGATGAATCTTAATACTCTCACTGGCAACCTGTGAGAGTCCCAGGTACCGCACATCCTTGTGAAGCTTGGTATTATCAGTCATTTAATTTTCGCCATTCTGGAAAGGATATAGTGGTATCTCATTTCTTTTTATTAACTTTGATAGCTTTATGAAGGTGCAATTTACATACTATCCAGTCTATACATTGTTAGAGGACAGTTGAATAATTTATGGTATATGATACAGTGTGTGGAACCATTAAGACAATCATTTTAAAAACACTTACATCAGCCCCTAAAGGACCCTCATGCCTGTTTGCAAGCAATCCCTGCTCACATACCCAGCCACAGTCAAGCACTGATCTCCTTTCTACTCTACAGATTTGCCTTTTCTGGGTATTTTCTATAAGGGAATCATACAACATACTGTCTCTTGAGTCTTGTTTCCTTCACTTACCATGTTTTTGAGTTATATTCATACATTACCATGTATCAATAGTTTGTCCTTTTTTATTACTGAGTAATATTCCATTGTGTGGACATACTGAATTTTGTTTATTCATTCATCAATCGATGGACATTTGGATTGTTTCCAGTTTGGTGATTGTAAATAATGCTGCCATGAACATTTGACTTCAAATCTTTGGAGACGTGTGTTTTCATTGCTTTTGGGTAAATGCCTAGGAGCAGAATTGCTGGGATATCTGATATGTTTCGCTTTATAAATAACGCCCAACTGTTCCTCAAAGTGTATCATTTGCTTTCCCATCAGCATGAAACGCGGCTGTAGTTCTATTACATTTTTGCAACACTGTCAGTCTTTTGGCTATTAAAGCCCTCCCCCGAGTGTCAGTGGTAGCTCACTGTGGTTTTAATTTGTGTTTCACAAATGACCAGTGATGTTGAGTATCTTTTCATGTGCTGATGAGCCATTTGTATCTTTTCTTTGGTGAAATGACTACTCAAATCTTTCCCTCTTCTTTTGAATTGAGTTTTGTCTTCTCACTACTGAGTTTTAAGAATCCTTTTTTAAAAAAGATTTTATTTATTTATTTGAGAGAGAGAGCACAAGCAGGTGGAGGCGGGCAGAGGGAGAGGGAGAAGCAGACTCGTCCTTGAGCAGGGAGCCCGATGTGGGGCTCAATCCCAGGACCCTAATAAGATCATGACCTGAGCTGAAGGCAGTGGTTTAACAGACTGAGCCACCCAGGTGCCCCAAGTTTTAAGAATTCTTTATGTATTCTGGATGCAAGTCTTTTATCAGATGTCAATTTGCAAATATTTTCTCTCAGTGTATGTCTTGTCTCTTTGTTTTCTCAGTGATGTCTTTTGAAGATCAAAAGCCCTTAATTTTGAGGAAGTCAAATTTAAATGTGTGTTTGTGTTTGATATCATATCAAAGAAATGTTCATCCAGCTACAGATTTTCTAAGTTTTCTTCTATAAGTGTATGTGGTTTTAGCTCTTATAATTAGGTTATACATTTGGAGTTAATTTTTTATACACAGTGTGAGTAGATGTCTAATTATATTATTATTATTATTATTTGCATTTGGATGTCTAATTGTTTCAGCACCATTTATTGAAAAGAATGCTTTCTCCATTTAATTGCATCTGGGAGAGCATTCCATTGATGGGCTAAATGGAAGCTCCTGGAATGTCTTCTTACCAAGACAGTAAACAGAAACCAAAGTACATCCCTGGGGACAACTGCAGAGAATAATGCCACCAATAAAGGACTTGAGAGATTCAGGGGTGGTGATGCCTATCATAGCTCCATGACTGCCTATCTTAACTCACCAGAAGTTAGGTGGATGTTGGGGAATGGCTGTGAACTAGGCTACACTTAATCAGGTGGTGAGTCCAATTGTGGCTGCTGTCCCAGAGGAAATCAACATAACCACCGGCAATCGATACGTTCCATGGCTAATGCGTTGTTCTCTATACCAGTTATCAAGGGCTCCTGGAAATGATTTACTTTGACCTGGCAGAGTCAACAATAGACTGTCATGGTTTCCTGTGGGCTCTGTAAATTCTCCTGATCTCTGTCATCACTTAGTTCACACAGACCTTATTAATCTTGACACTCTACATAGCATCACTCTGGTCCACTATATTGGCAACATCATGTGGATTGGAGCTGATGAGCAGAAAGTGGCAAGTAGTTAAGATGCCTTAGGACAACAAATGTGACCTAGAGGATGAGAAATAAACCCCACAAGACTTCAGGGACCCATCACCTCAGGGAATTTTCTGGGTGTTCAGAGATCTGGAGAACATCAAGATATCCCCTCCTAGGTAGAAGGCAAGTTGTTGGATCTCACACCACTTACAATGTAAAAAAAAAGGGACAGTGTGGACAAACACGTATCATGCAAACAGGAACCAAAGATATCTGTGTAACTATATCAGACAAAGAAGATGATGTTTAAGCAGGTGTCAAATTTGTCATTGAAAATTCAACTTTACATCTATGCCTTAGACTTTCTGACTCTATCTTACACTTCACAACTAAAATAATTTTTTTAAGTGCTCTGAGAACCAGACCAAGAAATCTTCCCTCAAGAAAGGTAATTGTGTTGTTTTGTGAGGCCAAAGAATTTTTTAAGTGCATATATCTATGTGTATATATATGTGTGTGTGTGTATCTATATATAGAGAGAAATACAATTAAGTACATATATATACAGTTATAATTCACTATTATATTTGGTGACAGTGAAAGTCACAATACTTTGTTTAGATTTTTAAAAGGTAAATAAAAGCTAGACTCTTCATGTAGCTCAATCAACAGATTTCAACAATCTCATCCCGCTGTTTCTGGCTGGATGGTGTTCTAATGGTCCACCCCACCCAAGCACATTTGCACATATTTGCATGGTTTACTCTTTATACTGTACAATATTTTTTCTGTGGTTTCTTTGGGTTTCTTCCCTTGGTAACTGCGACTGTTCAAAAATACATGAAAATACAAACCTCCCTTTTGTCTCCCTGTCAAGCCCTCCGTAGCTACTCCTTTTCAACAACCTTGATCTGGCTGTGTCTGTTTTCTTCCCCTTCTTTCCCATTGCTACCTCAGCCCTTACCTGTTGAGAATTGCTAAGGAGAGGTAGGCAGTACATCTTAGGATCCTAGCTTGGGAAAAGGAACTCTGGCCACGGAGAAGTTTCAATCCCATGGAGAGCAGGTGGTGGAGGGTGGGGGAGGGGGAGTGTTGCTTTTAGCTGATGGCACAGGGGCTGTGATAAAATAAATGGCAATTAACTTTTGTGTTCCCTGTGCTTCCAACACCAGTTCAGTTGCCATAAGTCATTTGCTGCTGAGTTCAGCCTTCAAAGGGCGAATTCCCAGTATGCAGTTAAAGCACTCAGTAAGTGTAAGTTGGCAGTCATGCCACACAATTATTATCCCACAGTTGGAGATACTCAGAGGAATATATAAAGGTATATAAAGGCCAATCAGTACATGAAAAGATGCTCAATATCACGAGTCATTAGGGAAATGCAAATTCAAACCACAATGAGATACCACTTCACAATTACTAGGATGGCGGCAATTGCAAACAAAACAAGACAAAATGGGGAATGTCAAGCGTTGGTGCGGATGTGGGGAAATGGGCACACTCAAACGTGGGTGGTGACAATATCAATTGGTACAGCTGCTGTGGAAGGCACTTCGACAGTTCCTCGAGAAGTTAAGCATAGAATGACCGTGTGACCCAGCAATTCCACTTCTAAGTATATGGCCCAAAGAATTCCACAAAAGTCTTCAAGCAAAAGCTTGGACTTGCATATAAGCAGCCCTGTTCATGACAGCCAAAAAGCGGAAACAACCCAAATGCCCATCAGTGGATAAATGTGTTCACAAAATGTGGTCTATCCATGCAACGGCGTATTATTCATCCCTAACAAGGAATGGAATACTCACACATGCTTATGCAGCAGAGATGAATCTTGAGACCATGCTAAGTGCAAGAAGCCAGACACAAAGACCAGAGACCATACAATTCCATTTATATGAAACTTCTAGAATAGGCAGATTCATAGCTCAGTGCTTGCCAGGGGCTGGGGGAGGAGAAGAAGGGTGACTGCTTCATGGGGACAGGGGTGATGAGAATGTTCTGCAATTAGATAGTGGTGGTGGTCACCCAACATTGTGAATGTATTACAATGTGTATTCAACATTGTAAACTGTACAACTGCATTGTACAGTTTAAAATGGTTAAAATGGTAAACTTTATGCTATATATATTTTGTTACAAAAAAAGACAAACACATACACTATTCAGAGGGACCCCTGGCTGGAATCCCCCCAAACCAGCCTGGCTTGCTCCCATGCCACCCTTCTGCAGTAATCCTAGGGTCCTTCCTTTGATATTCTGAGTCGCCCCTCCTACCCCAAAAGCCTGATGGTGGCTGCCCATGGCATCTCTTCTCCCATCATCCAGGCTGGGGGCCAGGGGAATGGGTAACTCAGCCTGCAAGACCCTACCTGCCCCCTAATCCCCGGCCCTTTGCAGGTACTGGCTGAAATTCGAGTACCATCTGCTGGAGAGTCAGTCGGGCATAGTGAATATGTCTTTTTTGAAGGCTGCTGTCCAGAATGTCAGAACCAACATCTCAGAAGACCTCTTCTTCTCTCTGACGCCCTCCCAGGTGAAGAGTTCCCCATCCCTGTTGGCTGGTTCTGGCTCCATTTCCTTCAGACGTATTTTTCAGAATTCTGAGAGACTCCTGGTCTATGCTTGGTGCCCACCAAAACTTATCCCTCGCATGTCCCATTTGATGGTGCTCTGCCACTTTGCTAACAGATGCTACTGAGTTGCTTGGATGGGTGGATCCGGGTGACAGATGACCCAGGGCATGAGGTTGGTACAATTTGGAAGATCACCAAAATGAGAGTCAGGGGATCTGGATTCCAGTCCTGGACTCCCCACCCCCTCACTAGGTGTCTTCCAGGAAACCTCTTCCCCTTGTTGGGCCCCAGAGCCCTCATCTGTAAGATGAGCTCTAGATTTACACAGGTCTGGATTCAAGTCCCAGCTCTGCTCCTTACCAGCTTATGTGACGGGTGCATGACCGAAATTTTCTGAGCCTCGGTTGCCCCCTCTGTAAAATGGTGCCGGTGTTGCCCACTTTCAAGGTTATGGGAGATAATGTACAGGGAGTGCTGGGTGCAGGGAGGGTGCAGCCCCCCTTAAGGGGTGAAGCTGAGGGTGGAAGTTCAGGCGGCAGGCATGTTGGCTATCATCGAGGTCCTTCTAGGTCTGTCTGGAAAAGGGGACATGAAAGATAGGGCCTTTATTGATGTGACCCAAGCGGCTGAGCCCTCTGCGTGGGGGCACCCGCTGGCCGCAGAGACCGTCCCACGTCCTTTGACAAGGGTCCAGACTGGGAAGGAGGAAGTTGGGTCCCTTGCCTCCAACCCTTAGCTCCTCCTGTTCCAGCGCCCATGGGATGCCTTTGAGGCAGGACCCGGTGGGACCAGGCTGCAGCCCCAGTGTAGCAAGAATGAACAAATCACCAGTGAGATTTATTTTACTATTTTCACCATTCTTAGCTTTTACAAAATTTGGTGTTGGGCGGGGGTGGAAATCACATTCCGTGTGAAATTTTGTCATTTCCACCTCTGCTCTCGCGGTCTCTCTTCCTGGGAGCTTTATTCTTTCCAGTTATTCCCAGGTCAGAACCCAGACACCATGACCCTAAAGCCCTGTGTAAGCACAGGGGCTGTCAGGATGCTGGCCTAAAGTGCACCACAGCCGACTCTCCCCCCACACTTGCAAACTGACCTTCACAGCCCACTTTGAGTCTGACCCCGATACGTGGTCATGCAGGCACCTGGTTAGCCCCATTCTCCTTAGTGGGAAAACTGAGGGTCCATGAGCGCTGTGGCTTGTCTGGGGGCTCACAGCCTGGAGAGAGCTGAGCTTGCAGTGTGCCCCCGAGTGTCCTGCCTCTCCAAGTGATGCTCTCAGGTGCTGCCCCTCCACCCAGTGCCTCAGTTTCCCCTCCCAAGTGGGGGAATGGCAAGAACCTTGTGTTGGGGGCTGGAACCCTTGGGTAAGACGGGAGCTCCGGGGTCTGTGGTTCCCAGGTTCCAGGGCAGGTGACAGAGGATGAGCGTGAACACCCCGACAGAGTCCGGCTGCCCAGGAGCCTCTTTGTATCCCTGCAGAGCAACAGGTCGGAGGTCTCGCTGGCCATCACTGTCCTGGACATCAGTCCGGGGAATCTCTTCAAGGTGAGGAGAGGACTGGAGGAGGCTCAGGGCAGCTCAGTGGGTCAATGCTCAGTTCACCAGGGACCTGTGCCCAGCTTGCCTTCTCTGGAGTCTTCGCTGTGGGTCCCCATGGGGATGGAAGAGGTGATGAGCCTGCAGAGAGCGTTTCTAAATCAGCCCGAGGTCACCCCGGACTTCTGTCTCTGGAGTCTGTGCATTGCAGACTCACACTGGTCACACACACTCAGATGTTTGGATCCCACACACCAGTGTCCTTGGACTTGTATGTGTATCCCAAGCGTTCGTGTCCCCTTGTGTGTATCCTTGTGCATGGACAAACATGCATATTCTTTCATAGTCCTGGAGTACATGCAGTCATGTGTGTTCCTGTATGACCGTGACCTTGCAAATGTGTCCCAGGCATGCATCCCCAGAGGTGTGTGATCCACTCAGGTGTAGATCCAGTGCACCATGAATGCTGGTGTAGGCACCCACTGCCCTCCATTTGGGGCTGATTTTTCTTCCAGCCCTGTACTCCTCCAGCTAAGAGGGCAGAGGAGCTCTGGGGACAGCAAAGGAGAGCTGTTGGGTGCATGGCTTTGCAACCAGTTGGCCTGGGGTGTAGGGCCCACAGTGATCCAGCCCGGGCAGGAGACTGCAGGGGGCAGCAGGAAGAAGGTTGCTCATGACCCCTTGGTCCCCTGGTCCCCTAGCCACAGACTTTACTCTCCAGGCAAGGGCCATGGGTCCTGGAGGTTCCTAGGAACTCCCAACAGGGCTGGGTTGGGACAGCCCCTTCTGAAGCCTGACCCCCCCATCTCCCTCCACAGGGCACCCAGCTCAGCCTGGAGGATGGCAGCCACATATTGAACAATCGCCTGGTGGGCTTGAGTTTGGGCAGAATACCTGTCAGCAGGCTGGTTGAGCCTTTGGAGATCACCTTCTCCCACCAGCGCCTACCCCCGGTGAGCCCCCGACCCAAGCCTGGCAGCTACTGAAGGGCAGACAGGCGGGTGGTCACCCACAAGCATATGGGCAGACAGGCGTAGGGCTCTGCACCTCCCAGTCTCCCACATTCCCCCGGCCATTAAGACCATACACACAGGTGCACCCAGGGACACATGCCACGTGCGCACGAATGTCCACTCGACCTCCAGACACCCTCCCACTTGTGCTTACTGAGGTGCACCGAGGACCTGGCAAACCCATGAGTGAGCACACGGGATCACACACACACCCACATACGTGCTCCCCTAAAGGCATGCGTACACAGACATGCTACCCACCCCCCTGCAGCCCCACACCGTGTCCACACCTCTCACATGCTGATCCAGGCACACCAAATGCGGCTCCTGGTGTTCCTGCGTGATCCACGGGGTGAGCCTTGCTTTCCACCCAGTGCACACTTGGGGCGGGGGGGGCACGCTGTCCTCTCCCTTCCCCTCCCCCCACTCTCCTCTTCTCTCTCCCAACCTCCCCCTGCTTCCACCCTGACTCCCACTCTCTGGTTTCAGAACATGACCCTCAGCTGTGTGTTCTGGGATGTGACTAAAGGTAGGCAGAGCCTCTCCCCTCCCTTCCTTCCTCTCTGGTCCCCTCCACTCCCCCATATTCCCATACACTCTCCTATGTTCCCCTCCCTTCCTCTCTAGGGTCAGCAGGAGACTGGTCTTCCACGGGCTGCTCCACGGAGCCCAGAGCCAAGAGGACTGTCTGTCGCTGTGACCATCTGACCTTCTTCGCTTTGCTGCTGGTAACAGCCCACCCACCCTGATCCCAGCAGTTGTGGAGGCACTGAGGCTTCCTGGCAGGGGCCAGGGCCTCTGGGATGTGTGGGGCCTGGCCTCCAACTGATGGGGTCCCGGTTTGGGGGGGTCGCCCACAGAAGCCGATCTTGGACCGGGCCACCGTGCAGTCCCTCGTTCGCATTTCCCAGGCTGGCTGTGGAGCCTCTATGATCTTCCTGGCCTTTACCATTGTCCTCTACGTTGTCCTAAGGTGGGTGATCCCCCACCCCCACCCCGCGTCTCCCTCTTTTCCTCAAGGGTGGGAGCATAACAGGCCGGAAAGCCCCCTGCTTGTACAGTATTATACTGATATCCCCTCCAAACCTTACTTTCCTCATCTATAAGATGGGGTTGGGGGTTGAAATGTGTCAGAGCTATTTCAATTGGAAGTGGCAGAAACTCAACTCAAATTCACTTAAACACAATGGGGAATATGTGGTTCATGGAATGGCGCTCCCTTCACGCATGGTTGGATCCAGGGGCTCAAAACATGCCCCCAGGCCTTGCTCTCCCTCTGCTTCTCCCAACTTTGCTTTCTCCTTTGTCAGCCATGTCAAGCAGCTTCTTCACCCTCAGGGGCCTTGGGGAGCCCCGGGCTTGCCTCACAGCTTCTTAGCTGCCTAGGCAGCGAATTTTCTAAATGAAATTCCAACATTGAAGCCTTTTTCTTTCAGCATTTTATTTTGAAATAATTATAGACCTACAGGAAATTACAAAATTACTGTATAGAGTCCCCTGGTTCCTTTATCCAGCTTTTCCTGGTGATAACATTTTCTATAACTGTAGTATCATATCAAAACCAGGAAATTGACATCGGTACAGTGCTAGTAACTAGAATACAACTTCCATAATTTTTTACATGCATTTGTGTGTGTGTGTGTGGGGGGGGGGTTCTATGCAATTTTATCCCGTGTATACCAGAGTGGAGTTTTGCTGGTCTAACTTGGGTCATGTGCCCATGACTGAACAGGCCACTGTGGTCAAGGGATGGATTACACTGACTGGCCAGGCCAGGTCATGTGCCTGCTTTTGGGTTTGAGCTAACAAAGGGCCGGCCTCACCCAAACATCAGGACTGTGAGCAGGAAAGCGTGCTCCTCGGGGAGACCCAGGTCTGTTTCCAGAAGGAGGAGCAGGGGCAGGACAGGCAGAGATCAGTGTGGCCTGTGCTCAGGCTGTCTGGGTCCCGGCCAGGGCTGAGGGACCCACAGGAACGGCCTGCTTGAAGGAGTCTGTGAGAACAGCCCCATGCCCTAGGCTGGCCTGGACCCCAGGCTTCGGACCCGGGGCTGAACAGAGCAGCCCTGGGATCTCCTGCATCAGTCTGGGGCCCTCCCATGGCCTTTCTCCACGTGCCTCTTTGCCTCTGTCCCCATCCAGCCCTGGGCTGCAGCCCCCTCTAGCCTCACCCCCTCCATCTCAGACTAAAGCATGAGTATGAGCAGTGCCACCCCTGCCCCCCACCAAGCCCAGGCCTAGAGCAGAGCCCCCACCCCCAACAAGCTGAGCATGCCTTGCCAGCCGGCCGCACTGCTGAACCTCATGAGCCGGGCTTGGCGCGCCGGGAGGACTCGTCACCGACTGTCACGGGTGGGCCCTGGCATCTCAGGTGAGGTGGACAGGAGGCCTCCGCTCCCGTCCAGGCACCCGGGGCTCCCATCCCTCCAATGAGAGCCCTCGGGATCCGATTTGCTAGGAATTCTGACATACGTCCCGGCCTCCTGCTTCTCTGCCCAGTAGGTAGGTTCGTCCACTCACTCAACCAATGCACACAGGGTCCCCTGCTGCCGATTGTGCTAGCCTGAGGTCACAGCCAGAGGGGAGGGAGGGGGCTACCCTGTGCTGCAGGAAACTTCCAAATCAGCCTGGCTAAGTGGCATTCAGAGACAGCTTCCTGAGAAGGAAGTGCCCAGGAAAGTTTTGAAGGAAGAGTAGGAAAAGGCATTGAGAGCAGAGAGAAGAGCAGAGGCCAAGTCTGGGAGGAGTGGAAAAGCAGAATGCATTCGGGGACTTGCAAAGTATGCGGGTTGGCTAGAGCATGGAGTGGAGGGATGAGTCTGGCAGCATGTGGGCCCCCCGGGGCCGTGTGGGCCAGAAGAGAGAGTGCTCCTAACCCTGAGCCTGACGGCACTCACGCTCTGGCTGCTGGCAGGGGTGGACCAGGGGAGGTGGGGTGGGGACGCTGGGGTGCAGGTCCTCCCTGAGAGGAGCTGCGGCCGGGCCTCTTGCCGCCTCTCATCGGCCCTTCCCACTGCAGGTTCTACCGGCAGAGGTTCAAGTTGGAAGATGCCCCCAAGATCCACGTGGCCCTGAGCATGACCTTGTTTCTCCTGAATCTCGCCTTCTTCTTCAATGTGGGGTACAGCCACAAGCAGTCAGACACCACCTGCCGGTCCTGGGGGGCTGTCTTCCACTACTTCCTACTCTGCACCTTCACCTGGATGGGCCTGGAAGCCTTCCACCTCTACCTGCTCATCATCAAGGTCTTCAACACCTACTTCGGGCACTACTTCCTGAAGCTGAGCCTCGTGGGCTGGGGTAGGTGCAGCTCGGGCGGGCGGGGAGCATGGCTGGCTGCGGGAGGGGCGGGAGGGGCGGGTGGGGAGCCGCCAAGGCCCAGAGGGGTCTCCCTCTCTCACACGGGCTCAGGGCTTGAGGGGCGGGTAGCTGGAGGGGATTTTGGAGGAGGACATGCCAAGGGAGCCCCAGCGATGCCATAGGTCCTCCCGTTGCGCCCAGGCCTACCCGTCCTCATCGTCTTTGGCGCCGGGAGCGTGGACAGCTACGGCCGGTATACCATCCGCGACAAGAGGAACGCCACTGTGCTGGAGCTGTGAGTGGGGGCCGGGGGAGCAGCGGTGACGTCAGGCTCCTGGCTGCACAGATGGGGGTCAGTGGGATGTGGGGAGAGGCGGGAAAGCTGGGAAGAGAGACTACATCAAGGCAAAGGATCCTCCAGCTAGCTCGTGGTCTGGAGGAGTAAACTGAGGACCAGAAGGAAAAGGTGCAATGAGACAGGGGGTCTGAGAAGAGAGAGAGCGAGCTGAGGCAGGATGCCTTGCTCTAGCCTGGGCCACCACCAGCCCATATGGCACCTTTGGGCAAATTTTAAAAGGTACCCCCACCCCCACTCTGCCAACCTGCCATGCCAGGGGCTCAGCCTGGGGAGTGGAGGGCAAGCTGGATTTCAGCCTCACCCGTCCCCTCAGCCAGGTGCCCTTGTGCAGGACAAAATCTGCTCACCATTGGTGGCAGGCCTGGTTCTAGCTAGGCTTTGCCTCTGAGTTTGCTGCGTGGGCTAGCCTGGCCTCTCATAGGGCCTCAGTCTCCTCATCTGTACAATGGGGGGTGATGGACATACTCTTTCAGGCCTTTCGCCCTGCAATGCAGGAAGCATGGAGCTGAGCTGAGCCTCTCCCAGGGTGCCTGCCCCGGGCCCATGGCTCTGTGCTGAGAGAAGCTGGTGGAGTCTTGGTCCTGGCCCTTGGGCCTCAAGTGCAGGGACCACAGGGGCTGGGGAGGTAACATAAGTGCATGCAGTGGCCCAGGTGGGGACTGTAATAGACAGGCAGTCACATACCCATCTAATGTCCCTCGGGAGGGCATGCACAGAGCTGCCAGGTGTATGCTTTTATAAGAAAAGCAGAGGGACGCCTGGGTGGCTCAGTGTTTAAGCATCTGCCTTTGGCTCAGATGCGGGGCTTGATCCCGGGATCCTGGGATCAAGTCCTGCATCCTGCTCCCTGCTCAGCGGGGAGTCTGCTTCTCCCTCTGCCTCTCCATTCCCCCACCCCCCACCCCCACCCCCCTCCTCCACCGCCTGCCGCTCCTGCTTGCTCACTCACTCTCTCGAATAAATAAAAACTTAAAAAAAAAAAAAGGAAGCATAAATCTGGATGCTTATGCCAAACCTCCCACTTTTTAAAGGGTGGTCGTTAATTCAATTGTTTTACAACATAATGTGGGGTAAACACAACAAGTCTTGGGGGCTAACTTGGCTGCTTTGCACTCCCCGGTCTAAAGAGATGGCGGCCTGGAGCCTCATGACGGCCCCTTCGCAGGAGAATGGGGGGTTGGTGGGTGGCGGTGGGGGGAAGGGGTCTTTTTGGTCACAGAAGGTCAGTTAGGGAAGACTGCGGGGGGCTAGCTGGGCGGGGTCACGTCTCCAGCCCCGGCAGCCATCTGCCTCCTCCAGGTGCTGGTTCCAGGAGAAGGCAACTGACTCTGCCCGCTACATCACCGTCCACGGCTACTTCCTTGTCACCTTCCTCTTCGGCGCCGTGGTCCTGGGCCTGGTGGCCTGGAAGATCTTCACTCTGCCGAGTGCCACAGCACACAAGGGGCAGGGACCGACCTGGAAGGGGGTCTTCACTGTGCTGGGCCTCTCGAGCCTGGTGGGTGTGACCTGGTGGCTGGCCATCCTCACGCCCCTGGGCCAGTCCACCATCTATGTCTTCGCGCTCTTCAACTCCCTGCAAGGTGAGGCTCCTGGGCCAGGGAGGTGATGGGTTGCCTCATCTGCGTGGGGGTGTTTTGGTGGGTGGCAAGAAACAGGATTCCACTCAGCCTGGCTCAAATCAAGGGCACTGGTCTCAAATATCCAGGGCTGTCCCAAGGACCCCAGGGCGGGAAGGCTGGTACCAGGGCCGGGAAAAGCCACCCAAACCAAAGCAGTTACTTTCTCTATCTTTGCTCTGGAGCTGTGTGTATTCTCTCACCTTCTTCTCTCTGTGGACTCTCCTTCCTTCTCTCCGCTGCCCCTTCCTACCCAGGCTCCCAAATGGCTTCTTCCTTTCGACATGACCTTCTCTAGCTGGGGAGGGTGGTCTGATTCAGCCTGGTCCATGTTCTTAGGAGAGTCAAGAATCGGATCAGGCCATCGTGGGCAAGGTGTCCATCTCTGGTCCAATCAGCTGTGACCAGGAGGGCGGGGGCATGTGACATGATGGCCACATGACATGGACAGTCTGTAAGAAGCTGTGATTGCAGAAGGACGTGATTAGTGGAGGAAATGATCGACAGGGGTCCTCCCTGACCCCCGCAGGGGTGTGGTGACAGCTCCCCCTTCCTCTTCACTCCTCTTCGCTTCCTGTGTCCTACACACTGCCTTAAGAAGCATCACAGCCTGACTAAGAGAAACCGCTGAGAAGGCATGGACAAGGTGTGCTTTTGCCTTTGAGTCAAAGTCTCACAGCCAGTGGGTGGGGGCCCACCCAAACAGGGCTGGCTCCCAGAGCCTCGTGAGGCTATGTGGCATCGTGGTTTGGTAGCCCTGGGGATAAGCAGACCCAGACCTGAACCCTGGTTCCACTTACCACCTCAGCAAATCGCTCAGCCCCTCTGATCATCTTTAAAGCTGGGACAACACTGTTATTTTTCTCACCAGATTTTGTGATGAGTAACCAAGCTAATGGTTGTGGGGGACGTGAACAGTCCCCCGGGGAAGAATCATGAGTCCACATTCAGGACATCCCGGGGCTGGGGAGGAACGCACCTTGAAACTAGACTGTGTCATTATTCTTCCAGAGGTCACCCTTAATATTTAAGCCTGAACAGTTCTTCACTCTACTGAGTTGTCTCACCTGCGTGTGAGTCCTCCTAAACCCAACAGTCCTTAGTACACTTGAACTGCCCTTGAACGTGTCTCAATAGTTCTATGGTTGCTGCAAGTTTGAGTTGTAAATTCCTTTTAAGCCCACACGGCATTTTGACTTTTCTATCGATTTCTGTGCTTACTATAATTTTTCTACCTGCCACCGTCCCGCTTCTCCCTGCTGGCGTGCGTCCCGTAATAACCCTCTCCTTCCCAACAGGTGTCTTCATCTTCTGCTGGTTCACCACGCTCTACTTCCCCAGCCGGAGCGCCGGAGCCTCCTCTTCTGGCACGGGCCAAGTCAACCAGGTCCACACCACGTCTCACGAATAGGAGGCCTCTGTGGGGTCAGGCTGGGAGCCGGCCGCACATTCCGGACTCAGCTCTGACTCCCCGTGTGACCTCAGGCTGCTCCCCGTCTCCCTCTGGGCTTCAGTTTCTGTGTTTGTACAATGTGGCTGGGGAGGAAGGAGATGGGGACCAGGCTGGACCGCCGGGCCTCGAAGGTTCCATCCAGATACTTTGATGGGTGCTAAAGTCTACAAATCCAGGAGAGCAAGAGTCTAAGGTTCTGAAACCCCTAAGAGCCCTGCCAGTGCAGAGCGGTGCCCCCGCCCCACCCCTACCCTCACCAGAAGACCCCTGCCAGAACCGCCCCCCTTCCCCACCCCCACCTCCTGCCTTCATAGCAAAGCAGCTCATGTCTGCCATTGGCCACCTTCTGGTCTCAGTACCCGTGGAGTCTGTTGCTAGCGCTGCCCCTTGAAAGAGCCCAGCCTCTCCCCTTCCTCCCTCTGGCCCCTGCCCTCCCACACCCCCACCCTCTGGCTGCCTGCCCTCATCCCCTCAGGCACTGGGGCAGCTGTGGACTAGAGCTTTGGGCCTGTCTTCATGCGTGAGCCCCCACCGTTCAGGGGGCTGCCAACACTCCGGCTGTCCCAGGACACGGAATTTCAGAGAATGCCACTTCTTCAGTAGTGGGGACTAGCAGCCCCCTCCCCACTCTGACGGCCGCATGTGTGGCCCGACCTCTCATCTGCCGTCGCCGTCGCCGTGGGCTGGAGGGCAAATGTTCCAGAGCTCTGCACACGCAAGGGCCGAGGGGCAGGGCAGGGGCTCAGCGGACAGGGCTGAGCAGAGAGAGGACGGGCTTCCCCCCGGGCCCCCCCCCCCGCTCCCCCGGGATCTGAGCTCCAATCAAGGAGGCACGACGGCCTCACTCACCAGTTCATCCCAGCCCGAGCCTGGCACGGTTCAGGCCCCGAGTAAACACCTGTTGGCTAAATAGCTGGAGGAGTGAGTTTAGCATCGCCAGGCAGGGTTCTGAGCCAGGGGAGTGTCTCAGGCCAGACCCAGCGGCTATGTGTCACCTCTTGCGGCTGGGCCTCCGTTTGGCAACATCGTGCTGGTTTCCTCAGTAGGAAACAGAAGAGGCAGAGATAACGGGGCTGAGGCAAAACGGGGCTGGGCGGGGGTGCGGAATGAATAGATAAAACAACACAAAGAAAGAAAAGAAGAGTGGAGGGGAAGGAAAGACAGCAGCCCGCTGGCTGGCCCTGCCCCACACGATCATGCCCCACCTCTAGCCTTAAGTTCCTCACCACTGGGGCCATCTCACCTTCCCTACTCACCCCTGTCCTTGCCAGTGTGCTTTGCCGAAGTCAAGCACCTGCTAGAGGGGAGAAGCCACTATTATGAGACCGTCCCCCACAGCCCCTGGGCTTCCAGCCCTCCTCCTGCTCCCCGATGCCCGTGCCGAGTGAATGCCCTCTCTTCTCCCTCCTCCCACCCAGCAAACGGATGCAAGACAGGAAGGCAGAGGCCCCTGCTTTATGCAAGTCGAAGAGAAATTCTAGGGTGTGGACAATTGCAAAAGTGGAGCCACATTATATCAGGTTTTGTGGACAAGCTTGGTGGGTTTGGGGACTTACTTTTACAGACATCTATTTCTCACGCTGGAGGGCTGGGCTCCCTTACCCCAAAGTCTCAGAGTTTTTGAACACAAACCTGTGTGGTCCACAGCTGCTTCTGTGTCTGAGAGGCCTGGGTTCAAGTCCTGACTCTGCTACTTAGGGGCTGTGAGATGCTGGGCATGTCTCCTCACCTCTCTGAGTCTCAGTGGCTCCGTCCATAAAATGGGGATCATCAAGTTCTTGCCTCGACCTGAGAGCATTAAGTGAGGTGACACAAGTGAAGAGCCTGGTATTAGAGACCCCCATGGCTTAAAGAAAGAGTAGGTGGCACCTTTGTGTGAACCATGAACCTTTGAGACCTGTAACATGGGAAGGGTATGAAGGGTTAAAGCTCCCTTCCAGATTCCTTCTACAGCCCTGCCAAGTGGGCCGGCCCTGTGTGGGAGGAGGAAATGGAGGCCCAGAGAGGTCCAGCAACTTGCCCAAGGCGACTCTGCACGCGAGGCTGCTGCAGAGCTGGGCTTCCCTGGGCTGCCCATGCTTCCTCCCAGAGCATTTCCTGGGTTCTAGAATTATTGCCTCAGCCCCGCTCCCTGAGTCTCCAGGGAAACGCTGCGTTCCGGCTTTCCCAGTTGGATGCAGAGGCACAAAACCACAACGGCTGAATGGCCTGGGTTTCCTGGTGCTGATGGAGAGGGAAGATGAGGAGATGTGGTTAATGGTGGGGATGTGTCCATTTCCACTGGCTGTCTAGTCCAGGACCAGGCAGGGGCAGAGGGGCTGGGGTCCCTCATTACCTGGGGTCACCCTATAAGTGGCTCCGAGTGCCAAGCTGAGCACGTGCTAAGGCCAGGTGGAGCTCTGGCAAAAAAGCACCCCAAGGCCCAGTGCGGATGGATGGAGTTCCACTAGCACCACATGACCATAGCAGCAATCTAAGAGGTGGGCAGCACCAGCCTAAAGGCACGAACTCTGAGGTTGGCCCATCTGGACCACGTTCTTCCTCTGCAACTTGCATTGGGCCAATTCCTCACCTACTGAGCCCAGAAAGCAGACATAGCAGTAACCGCCCCACAGAATGCATGAAGGCTTCCGGGAGATCCTGGCCAGGAGCGCTGCCTGGTGTCTGGACCCCCGGCCCAGCGTGCAACTGACTGAGTCACAGCTTTGCTCCAGACTACCGTGGTCATCTGCAAGGAGGACCCCCCGCCATGCCTCCCCACCTGGCTCTTCCTGCTCCGCCCCACCTTCTTCATTCCTTGTATTTTTCATTACGTTATAACAAATGTATAGGAAATAAGAGGACTTACTGGCTCTGTGCTCCCGGATGGATAACTTAATATCAAAAGACAACAATTCTTCACAAATTAACCTATGACTACAATGCAGTTCCAATAAAGATTTCAAATGATTTTTTTTTTTTTTAGATTTCCCCAAAATGCGCTTTAACTTTCGAACGGAGGCATATCGGCCTCAAACAGCTAAGTCAACCTTAATGAAAGGAGTAGAAAGAAGACTTGACCTGCAGATATAAAGATATTATGAGGCTATAGTGGTAAATCTGACATGGGGTCTGAGCAGGGATAGGCAAGAAGACCAGTGGAACAGAACAAAGGGCTCAGAGGCAGAGTTATGCACACCGGGGGTCTTACGGCACCAACGATATTGGCATCAGCAATAAGGGACAGATAGTCTGATGATGATGGTGGAAAACTGGCTCATTATATGAAGAAAAAATAAAACAGGATCCCTACCTAACTCCTCATCCAGAGATGGGTTCCAGGCAGAGTAAAGGTTCTCGATGGAATGGCAAAACGATAAAGTTAATGTAGTAAAATATTTTTGTGACCTAAGGACAAGGAAAGACTTCTCAAACAAAAAATCACAAGCACAAAACATCAGGCCAAAAGCTGGTACATTTAACTACATCAAAATTAAAGTTTTCTGTTCCATGGAAGACACCATAGGCAATGTTAGCAGGCATGGGACAGAATGGGGGAAGGTATTTGCAACATCTGAAGCCAGGGATTAACATCTGGAAGGCCTGCAAATCAAAACAGGGGTACTTCCCTAATAGAGAAAAATGGGCTGAGGTTTTAAATGGCAATTTCAGAGAATGAACTATCTAAACGTAACAAGCTAGCCCATGAAGACACATTTAAAATCATCAGCAATCACAGAGTTGCACTTTAAGATGGCAGGGGGACCTCACTGTATCTTCATTGTATGAAACTGACAAAGGGCAGGATAGGAAGTTGGATAATGTCAACTGCTGGGTGGGGGGCGAGGGTAGTAGGCTCTCTCAGGGCTTGTGGAAGTTGGGTAGAGTGTAGCTTTCATGGCCTGGAGAAAAATGGGTTGCAGCCACTCACTTAGCAATCCGCTCCTGGTTCTTTACCCCAGAGGAACATTTTTTTTTTTTAAGATTTTATTTATTTATTTGACAGAGAGAGAGAGAGAGCAAGAGAGGGAACATAAGCAGTGGGAGTGGGAGAGGGAGAAGCAGGCTACCTGTTGAGCAGGGAGCCTGATGCAGGGCTCGATTCCAGGACCCTGGGACCATGACCCGAGCCAAAGGCAAACGCTTAACGACTGAGCCACCCAGGAGCCCCTCCCAGAGGAACACTCTTACAGGTCTAAAAGGGACATGGCCGATGACATGTGTGGCATTATCTGCAGTGGAAAAGAAGGCGTTGGTGGCAAAGGGGGTTCGGGGTGGGGTCCATCACTGGGAGAATAGAGTGGATCCCTACTGTGGACACACAGCAACATGGATGGATCTAAAAACACAGTTCTTAGTGAAAATAAAAGAAACAGAGGCGGTATTAACACAATATCATATACACGAGTTAAAAACAGCAGCATGCAAAATAGTGCTCATTTGGGGGGAAAAAATGGATCAGAATGGGTGCCTATGAAGGTCAGAGACTGGGATTGGGTATAGGGATAAAAGGGAATAAATAAAGACACAGAAGAAATGAGATCAGCCTGACACACCACCTGTTTACCTTTCCCTCCTCCTTGTTCACCCTCACCCCAAGGGAAATCCCCAGAAGTAATCGTAGGACACACTGCCCCGTGACCTTTCCCTCAGTTTAATTTAGCCTTCACACTGTATTTTTCACGACTGAGTAATATTCTGGCCAGAATTTAAAATCATTATTTACTCTTGAGAATTGAGGTGATTGCTATGTCTCCCCCAAGTAGCAGCAACTGTCCAACCTTGTCAGGATAGTGTTTCTCCAGACTCCCCCTCCCACCACGCCCCCCAGGGCTGCTTTACGACATTCACGGGCCCCTTCCCCCAGTAACAAAAAAGTAAAAATATATTTTTTTTGGCTGCATTGGTACAATGATGAATATAACCCAGGGTGGACTCATAATTATATACTTATCATTAGTTTATTCATTTTTTCTTCTGAATTTGAAAGATTAAAATTAATTTCCATGGGCCACTAACCTTCTGGGTAAGTTTTCCCTGTCTTGTGGGTTATAAATGAAATCAGAGGCCCAGCCTGGAGAAGAACACAAGGCTCCACCATGATAAGCAGACACGCTAGGACCCACACTGGTTTCCATCCGTCTTGATAAAGGCCACATGGACAATGCATGGGGCAGAGGCCGAGGCATGTCCTGGTAAGTGCTTAACAACGGGCTCAGTGGGGGGAAAATCCCTGGTCTATAACATTTGCCTATTTTATTTTATTTTATTTTATTTTTTAAGTAGGCTCTATGCCTAGCGTGGAGCCCAACGTGGGTCCTGAACTCACAACCCTGAGATCAAGAGTCGGACCCCCAACGAACTGAGCCACCCAGGCATCCCAACATTTGCTAATTTTAAGTTATCGACATGACATCACTGAAGAGAAGCTGGGAAGAAATTCAGAGTAGCTCGCCATTATATAACATTTCCACTATACAGATACGGTAGTCAGAAGAAACTTCAAGAACATACACGCTGGTAAAATAGTCAAATAATTAAAAAGTGATGAGTTTTAATTAACTTTGCTTTTAACATCATCTATTTATTTATGTTTTTTATAATTTTTTTAAAAAGATTTTATTTATTCATTTGACAGAGATAGACACAGCGAGAGAGGGAACACAAGCAGGGGGAGTGGGAGAGGGAGAAGCAGGCTTCCCGCAGAGCGAGGAGCCCAATGCGGGGCTCGATCCCAGGACTCTGAGATCATGACCTGAGCCGAAGGCAGACGCTTAACGACTGAGCCACCCAGGTGCCCCTATGTTTTTTATAATTTAATGAGTGATCATGGCAGTTTGTCAACTGGCTCACAGACATTTCTGAAATTTTAACAATCAGCTCTTGCAAGCGGGCACAAACTGCCTCCAGCCAGTCACTTGCTGAGGGACCTACCATCGATGGTCTGCTGGGCCCAGACCTGGACAGTGACAGAAGACTACATTTCCCAGAAGCCTCCTCTCCCAGAACCCGCCCTCTGCTTCGAAAGCTGTTGCCGTGGAGATGGGCTAACAGATGGCACTGGCTGTCCTCAGAGGGGTGAGGAGGGAGCAGAGGACCCGACGTAGCTGGTGGCAGGGTAAGAAGTAGGGTGGAGGTGGGAAGGGTTTTTTTTTCTGACTGGGGGCTTCCAGCCCTGATCTTTCTGCGGAAGGGGTGTGTCTGTGTGTGGGGGAGGGATTGCTGCTAAGGAGGGGTGCAGAAAAGGGCCTGTGGGGTGGGGAGGGTCTCTGGGCAGGGTCTGCCCTCCCCAAACTGGGCTGTAGCAGACAGGGCAGCCGGGTGTGGGGAGTACGTGTGGCAGGTTCTGGCCCAGCTCCACCTCGGATAAAGGGGTTCTGTGACCTTGGGCTCGGGGCCCGTCTCAGTGCCTGTCACAGCTGTAACCCCCTGCTGCCCAGAGACACCTTGGCCTTCTCCCCACATCCTCCTTTACTTACCTCTCCCCTCCCCGCCACCCCTGTAGGGCTTCCCTACGTCAGTAGGCCCTGAAGTGTGTGGTTTCCAGAGCCATAAATATATGGGCTCAAACCCCAGACCTGCTACTTACTAGCTCTGAGACCTTAGGCACTGCACTTAACCTCTCTAGCTCTCAGTTTTCTCATCTGCAAAGTGGGTACCGAAGCAGTGACTGCCTCTTAGGGTCTGTAATGGAAGAACCCAATTCAGTGTCTTCTCTCCTTTACTTCAGCCCTGACACTTCTGGTCACCAAATGTGTGTGGGTTTCTCCCCACACCAAGCCATTCTCTGTGACCTCCATCCTGTGGGTCAACACAGGGCTTGGCCTGACAGGCTACGTCACCCCCTGACACACCTGCCCCTTGTCCAGGTGCCTGTTGACAGCCTGCCCTTGCCTTCTCCATGTCTCAGCTCCAAGTTTGGTGATGTTACCTCTCTTTCCTTCCTTTTTTCTCTAATCCCTACCGCATTAGCGTCACTTGCCATAAAGAGAAAATACTGTTGAATGAATAAAATAAATAAAGCAGTGTTGGTAAGTCTGGGCCACCTGCTCCAGCCCTGACCCTAGCTTTCAACCGGCCACCTGCTCTGTCTTTGTCTTAGCGGGAGATCTGCAAATGTCAGAAAGATGTTACAGACGTGCTGGCACCAAGCGAGACTTTCTGCCTGATGGAAGGAGAGTTTCAGAGGGGCTCGCTTCCCCCCTCTAAACCACCTCCCAGACACACTGGTGGTCTTGGTGGCAGAAGGGGCCCATTCTGAGTGCATTTATCCTTCCCACGGGGACTCTGTCTCGAGACAGCCAGGGACGTGCCGGGATGGAGGTCCTGAAGGAGAAAGTGGAGGAGGAGGAGGAGGCCGAGCGGGAAGAGGCAGCCGAGAGGGGCGAGAAGATGATGAGGCCCGTGGAGATGCGGAGGGAGGAACCGCCCATGACGCAGGAGATGCTCAGAGACCTGGAGAAGAAGCTGTCAGAGATTGAGATCGTCATCCCAGAGCAGCCCTCGTGCGTGTCGGGGTTGGGGGTGGGGGGCTCCGGGCCGGGCAGCCCTGGCGAGGGTCAGACCAGGGCCAGGCAAAAGAAGAGCCAGACAGAATAGCGGCGCCAGGGTTGGGAGGCAGGACCGGGTGTAGAGGGAAGCAGATTCGAGTGAGGGCTCTGCTTTCTGTCCGCCTGGGCCGAGTCCCCTCTCTGCCCCTCAGGAGCTGTGTGACCCCTGACAAGTCACTCAGCCTCTCTGGGCCTCTGTTCCCTTCTCTATTTAAAAGGGCACATGATAATAGTGATATCCCTCCTGGGCAGTTGTGAGGAGTACAGGAGGAAGGGATACAGCCAGCTACGGTGGGTGGATGGTTGGCTCCCCGTGGGCCAGGCCTAGCCTCACCCGGGCTAATGCCTCCCCTCTTGTGGGCACAGGATCATTACCAAGGACACTTTCGACATCTCCAAGCTCCCCCTCTCCTACCAAAGCAACACGCTCAAGGAGGAGCATTTGCTGCAGGTGGCAGACAATTTCGCCCGTCAGTACAGCCACCTGTGCCCGGACCGCGTGCCCCTCTTCCTGCACCCGCTGAACGAGTGCGAAGTGCCCGTAAGGCAGGGTTGTGGAGGGGTGGGCAGGGGCTGGAGGGCGGAGGGAGGTGGGCCAAAGCTCGTGCGTCAGAGCTTATATCTGGGGACAGCATAAACTCAAATGCCAGTGGGCCCCAGCAGGCTCGATGTGAATCACCCCGGGGGGCTGGTGGTGGCCTGGAGACCCCACGCCCAACTAAGGGGCGGCTGGACCCCTGACGCAGTTTCCAACCCCCGACACCAGCTCTGTCCCGGGAAGGGCAGAGAAATAAGATGAAATGGACTGGGACCTGAGCCCTGGCCTCCTTCCTTCCAGCCCCGGGACCCAGGCACGTCCTGAGTCTCTCCGGGCCTCAGTTTCTCCATCAGTAGATGGAATGGCAGAGGATAAAAGCAAGATTTACACAACAGCCGCCCACAGGCTGTCGGGGACTCACAGGCTGTTTTACTTGGTCCACATGGTGATGTTGAACATTTGTATGAGCTGCCAGCATGTGAAATTCAGCGACCATACAGGTCCCTGCTCCCCCCTCCTCTTGAGCCGGTAATCCCGCATGCGTTTCAGCTGCTGCGATCAGCCAGCCTGCCCAGGTGGGGCCATGGCAGATCCTGTGCTGGCAGGCCTTCCTCACATCTACAGGGAGACCCTGGAGGTGCCGTCTGGGACCCCAGACCACGGGGCCCGGGGGGACAGAAGCCCCTCGGTCAAGAGCCAGACAGACCAGCACTGCTATTGCCTGTGAACCTGAGCAAGTCAGCTCACC